TTTCCCCCCAGGAAACAGCAGTGTCGTTTCTCCTCGTCAGCCACCCCAGTGAGCGAGTTCTCATCAGCTCAAGTGACAACAAATGCAGGTGCTCCTCTGCTTTTTTTCTGTGCAGGGCGAGTCCTTCCAGCAAACTTCGGGAGGGAGCAGCTGTTTCCAGTGAAAAAACCACCATCCTGCTGACCCAAGCTGAAATGTGACGTGGAAATGGGATTTTTTAATTTATTTTTTTATTTTTTTGACCTTGAGAGTTACAAAGTTGCTCCAAAGGAGGGACCCTGCGAAGATTAAAAATAACTAATCTTTGTAATGCTTCTGCAGCTCACAGGGCTGAGTGAATTCATCACAAAATAAAGGGCCAAAGCTTTAAATAGCACCGAGGAGCACAAGGCTTTTGATGAGTTTTTGAAGTCTTCAGCTGAAGAACTCGCCCGAGCATTCGCAAACATTCATTTAGGAACAGCTGGTTTTCTCAACTGCATTCTTGTCTCATTTTTCCCCTCGTTTTGTTCACACACACACCAAAAAAAAAAAAAAAAAAAAAAAAAAAAAAAAAAAAAAAAAGATACTTGTTGCTGCAGATGTTTAGGGGAGGCTGTGTGGATGAATAGAACGTTGATTTTTCCTCAGCTCGGGGCTCATTTTAGCTCCTGATTTTGGGGTTAGGCGCTGATACAATGTCTACATCTCTCTGTGTGTAATTGTAGATATTTTGTGTCCCTCTCCCTCGCACGCCATGTGGGTTTAAGCACTCATCCACCATGAATAATGTCCAGGGCCAGGTCACAAACTTCCCATAGCGGGGGCCCTATTTGCATCCAATCCAGGCCATCACAGGGAACCTCCAGCTCAGAAAACCCAAACAAACCCAGAAACTGCTCCTGCTGCGGGAAATGCTCCAGGGAAGGGGGAAAGAGAAAGGGAGGAGAGAAAAGGGGATTTTTTTTAAAAAAAAAAGAAAGGTCGGGTATTTGGGGTGAATGGTGATGTAGGATGGGCTGGGTGATGGGGCTGGTGAGGGGGCGGGAATGGGGCTGAGGAAATGGGAAATGGGGGTGAGGAAATGGGAAATGGGGCTGAGGAAAAGGGGGTGAAGAAAATGCGGCTGAGGACATGGGGCTGAGGAAATGGGGCTGAGGAAAAGAGAAATGGGGATGAGGAAAAGGGGCTGAGGAAATGGGGAATGGGGCCGAGGAAACGGGGCTGTTCTCCTGGCGGGGTCTACAGGAATTGGGGCTGCAGGGATGGATCTGCGGGGGTTGAGGATGCGGGAACGGGGCTGAGCTCCCGAAGGAGCCTGCGGGGAACGGGGCTGCTGTACAGGAGGGGTTCGGCCTCAGGGATGCGGGGATCGGGACTGCGGGATCGGGACTGAGGGATAGAGGCTGTTATCCCTGCGGGGGCTGCAGGGATCGGGGATTTGGGATCGGGGATCGGGAGTATGGGGTTGGGGGATCCGGGATCGGGAGTGCGGGATGGAGGCTGTTATCCCTGCGGGGGCTACGGGGATCGGGACTGCGGGGATCGGGGATTGGGGATCGGGGATTGGGGATCGGGAGTATGGGGTTGGGGGATCGGGGATCGGGACTGCGGGGATCTGGGATTTGGGATCGGGGATCGGGAGTGCGGGATGGAGGCTGTTATCCCTGCGGGGGCTGCGGGGATCGGGACTGCGGGCACCGGGGATGCTCGGGCCGAGGAGCTCCGGGGCCCGCGGGGCGGGGGCGGCCCGGGGAGGGGGGTGAGTCCGCCCGCGGCAGCGCATGCTCCCTGCCGGGCACAACCTGCCCTTTTAAACGGCGGCGGAGGCGCGGGCACCGGGCTGAGTGAGCCCCGGCTGCTGCGGAGGTACGGCTGGGCACCGAGCTGGGCACCGGGCTGGGCACGGGGCTGGGCACCGGGCTGGGCACGGGGCTGGACCGGAGTGGGCACCGGAGCGCGGGGGAGGGAGGATGCGGGATGCGGCAGCCCCGGGATGCGGCTCCTGCTGCCTCCCCCGGGGGGGATTTTTGGGGTTTTAGGGGATCCCGCCGCACTCACAGCCAGCACCGAGCGCTGCAGGAGGCGCTCGGGGTTTGACGCTCCTGCGGGAAAACAAAAAAAAAAACCCAAACAAACAAACAAAAAAAAAGAAACAAAACCCGCGCGTGTCGGGAAGCGGAGCGGGAGTGGCCGCAGGTGGGGCTGGGCGAGGGAGTCCTGTCCGCCCCGACAGCTCTCCCCAAACTTCTCCTCCTTGCAGCGACATCCGCGGGGACAGCGCTGGTTCGGGGATTTCCGAGCGGGCACGGAGTTTGGGAAGCGGGATGGACCCGCAGGAATCCTGAGCGCCTGCGGGGACAGGTCAGTGAAGCGCCGCAATCCGAGCGGGGCAGCGCCGGCAGAACCGCGAGCTTTCATCGCACCTGGCTGGAGGTTCTGATTTGGGGCTGGTGCCTCCCCTTCAGCTCAGTGGGATCTCTGCTGCCTCCACAGCCGTCCCTAAATGCCATCGTGGGGATAATTCCAGGGATTCCTGCCTTTGGCAGGAGTCGAGATTTTGGTGGTAAAACGTTGTAGTTGTTTATGATAAACATAAACTGCTGGACTCGTTTGTCTTCCCACGGATGACAGCTTTAGGAGGAAGGGAGAAGCACTAAATTAAAATTATTAATTTTGTGCTGGTGATGGCCAGACCTAGCAAGATGCTCGATTTCCATTTTTGGAAATTCAAAATTCAGGAGCAGCTTTCGTGGTGCTCACCTGGACCTGTTGGACTCACGAGCAGCACAGGGAGAGTGGCTCAAAATCCCATTTTTACCCTGTTCTGGTTCTAGATGTGATTCAGGAGAGCAGCCTTGACGTGTGTAACATGAGAATATCTCCGAATTTATAGAAATAGAACATGAGTAAGAACTTCAAAAGTACCCAAATGACCTGGGCACTGAAGTCATGCAGACACTCCTGAAAAACGTGTACCAGCCTTGAAACCTTTTCTATTATTCACCCCACCTGCAATTTTCTTTCTTTCTTTATTATTTTTTTTTTTTTCTTTTCAAATATGTGATGCTGCCTGGGCTTTCTGGCATCCTCCAGAGCTGCTTCTCCTCTTGGGGAGTGGCACTGGAACCAGATTGCCAACCCTGGGGTTCCGGGCTGTGCCTAAAACTCTGGAATTTTTTTGTCACAGAACATCGTGGAAGCCAAGAGTGGGATTTAGGGGTGGAAAAAAAAAAAGGATTAGGAATCTAAAATGGATAACAAGGATCTCCAGAATTAATAGCGAATTAAATGAGAGCTTTACAGGGGATATAAATCCCTGTATTTCAGGGCATAAACTGATCCTGGGAGTTTAGGGATATTCCTCAAATGCAGCGACTTCTGTGGGTGCCGCGTCCTCTTCACGAGGTCCCAGTGACAGCACCTGGAGCTCCAGGTGTTCCCCAACATCTGGAATGTGCAGATCCAGCCTGGAGGCAGCAGCCCCGTCCCCTGCGAGTTTCACAGCTCATCATCCCCGGAGTAAAGCAGTTGTAGATGCCTCGGTGTGCTCCAAACTCCACCGCCAGCATCGTTTTGAAGGAGCAAACCCCGTTTTTTATCAGCAGATTTTTTTTGTCCCTGTCCGTGCTGCATCCACGGTGGGAGAGGCTGGAATCCCTGCCCTGATCCCTGAGTTTAAAAACACAGCCCTGGGTCTACTTTATCTTTGCCAGAGTCCCTAGGAAATGATGTTTAGCATAAACTCTTGGTAACCTTTTCCCCAAACTGTTTATTTCGCCGGAGCACTCAAGTGCTGCCGAGGGGAGGAGGGGTGCTTTTGGGGTTTTTTTTTCTCCCTGAGTTTCCTCTCTTTTCAGCCAAAGCATCGGCACCGAGCTCAGGGTGATGGCTGGGCTCTCCTGGCTGATTGGGAGTGCATTAAAAATAAAAAAAAAAAATCACCTTAGTGCCGTGCTCAGGGGCTTTTTCCTCCTCTGGTTTGCTCCCTTCAGAGGTTTGCAGAGCTTTTGTCACGCTGGGGGTGGCTGAGCCTTCCAGAGGAGCCCCGAGTTTGTGTTTATCCCCCAGGAGAGGCTGCTTTAGGTGCTCTTTATGTGTTGCTGTCTCCTCGTCTTGGCTGAGGCAACAGCAAAGCAAAGCTCGGCCTGCTGGCTGAAATTTGGGGAGGTTTTTGATGGATTCGAGGCTCTGAAGGAGCCAGGAGGGAAAGGAGCAGAGGGATGGGAGGTGGTGCTGGGGGTAAAGCCTTGTTAGGAGCAGGGAGACACAGAAACCCCAAATGGGCTGGATTTCCTCTCTTTGGAAATAATTCCATCAGGTGATGGAGCAGGCAGCCAGTCCAGGACAGCTCCTGGTAGTTAAACCCAGCCCAAACAGCTAAACTCCAGCCCAAACAACTAAAACCCAGCCCAAACAACCACCCTGGCAAGTCTTGTGACCCCTCAGCCGTGTTTAACCCATGATCAAAGCTGAGTGTGGAGCAAGGGAGTCATGAGAAGCTCGTGAGCAGCTCTCAGCTCCTCTCGGTGCTGATTTCTTGGTTTCTGATTGCTCAATATCACACATCCAGGCTGCCCGTGGGAGATCAGGGGAAGGGGGATGGAGACCCTCGGGGAGGAATCTTGGCTTTTAAGAAGCAGAGGGAAGTTTTCAAACTGTCCCTGCGAGGTCGCCAGGCGTGGATCTGCAAAATTTTGCACTCAGCATAAAGAAAAGAATGATAAAACAGTAAAAGACAGGATTATTTAACAGCTCTGTGCCCCAGCGTTCTGTTGTGTCAGGCTGAGGATGTGAAACTTGTGCTGTCCCTTGTGCTGCTCTTGTTCCTCGCTGCTGGAAGAAGCTGATCCCGTGTCCTGGAGCTGCTGATGTGCCCAACCCACTGAGCTGTGGGGTTGCTTGTTCAGAAAACAAAGCTGAGCGCGACTCTGAGGCCACCATTTCATTCCTGTTTGCCTGCGTGGTGTTCCTTGGAGGTCCCCTTAATTTGTGCCTTTCCCTCCTTGTTTTCATATCCTAAAATGTCAGTTCCTCTCGCCGTTCCCAAATATTTGCTTAACATTTTGCCAGCCTGCAGAAGAGGAGAAACAGACCCCCGTGAATATTGTCTGGCAAAATAAGGAGGAATGTGGTCCCAAAGGCTCCTTTGTCTCAGGGCTGGAACACACACAGCAAGGAGCAGGTGCCTGATTCGCAGCTCTGAGCAGTTTTTCCTCCTCTCTCTTGCTGCACATGAGCTGAAAGTTCTCTTAGTCCACATCCCAAGGACTGGCCCTGTCCTTCATCCAGGGAAACCTTGTGGGTCGTTGTTGAGCTGGGGATTTCAGAGCCAGCTTTTGGTGACTTGCAGATGAATTCTCATCGTTGCCAGGGCTGGAACATTCAGGAGATTTAAGGATGGCCTCTGGCAAATAATGAGGTTTATTTGAAAATAGCAACTTAAAACAATGCCGGGTGCTGGGGTTGGTTTGTGAGGTGTGGAAGTTTTTCCCTTCAATCAAGGGAGCTGTTTTGGGGGTTTTTTTCCCATCTTTGTGTTGTTGGGAGCTGAAGTTCTCCGTGGTGGTTTGTCTGCAGGAGCTGGGACTTCGGGAAAAACAGAAATATAATGAGTGCAGTGACTCAAATCCGTGCAGGTTGTCAGCACTCAGAAGACATTAATGTTCTCACAGAGCCAGCTCCAGGAGCTGTGGGCAGCACCGAAATCCTGCTTTAGATTTATGGCTTGAGACTTTGGGTGAAATGGGGCATGCAGGAAAATCCCTGGATCACACTTGGCTTCCCAAACATCCTGCTGGGATCTGACTCGAATCTGCATGAAGAAGCTGAGGTGAGGATCAGACCTCAGCTCTGCTGCTGCTCTGTGCCCCAATTCCCTGTTCTTAATTTAGGATTAATGAGCAGAACTGGCTCTTGGGTGGGATTTGATGTAGGGTGTGACCAAACCCTTCCACCTGAACTGGACCTTGTGAGTGATTTTTATCCCTGGTGGTGATTTTGTGACTTTTCCAGCAGGCTGGGAATGTTGGGCTGGATCTGCCACTGCTCCAGGGTGTTTTTCTGCTCTTTCCCCTCTCCTGGAGCTGTGGGGTCACATCAGCCTGGAGAGGAGACACCCAAAGTGGATTTTGGGCACGTCCAGGACCCGAGCTGACACTGAGTGTCCTGTGAGTGCTCTCGCTGTGATCACCTCGCTCCGGATCCTGGCACGAGTTGCCAAATTCTCCCTTCAGAGCTGTGCAAAGAGAATAAAGGATTGTTGTGGTCACGGGGCCAGCGCTTCCTTGGAGGCCACCAGTGCCTCGTAAATCCAGAGAGCACAAAGGGACCAGGAGGTGACAGTGACAACAGGCTGTGGTGCCAGGTACGGCTCGTGGTGTGACAGGGGAGGGCTTTGTGTGGCCAGAGGTGCCCTCGGGAATGTGGTGACAAACAATTCCTGTAAATTTGGGAACGCTGGTGACAATTCCAGGGCATTTGGGAATGTTGGTGACAAACAATTCCTGTGCATTTAGGAATGTGGTGACAAACAATTCCTGTAAATTTGGGGACGTTGGTGACAAACAATTCCAGGGCATT